TGGAATCTAGATTGACATTTGCAGTGCACATTAAAAAACTGATCAAGAAATGTAAAACGGGAGTAAATATTTTACGATGTCTATCTGGGGTAGAATGGGGAGCTTGTAGATTGTCTTTGAAAATAATTTATTGTACATTCATCAGACCAAGTTTAGATTATGGAAGTATTATTTATGAATTTGCATCTAAAACCACACTCAAAAAGATTGAAACTATACAGAATCAAGCTCTTAGAATATGTTGTGGTGCGTTCAAAACATCTCCCATTGCAGCCATGCAGGTAGAAGTTGGGGAAGCTCCTTTATTCCATCGTAGGTATAAAATAAGAATTCATTATTGGGTTAATTTAAAAGGACATAAAGAGAGTCATCCAGTAAAGGGTGTGATTGAAGAATTTTGGGAGCATGGAAACAAAAATATTAAAAGCTTTGGATGGATTGCTAAAAGGGAAGCACAGGTATTGGTATTGCAGACTCTGATGTTAGCCCAACTGTGATATTATCCAGTATACCACCATGGATTTTTCCTATGCCAATAGTAGATTTTCAAATACAAATAAAATTAAGAAAGAGACCCCTAAGAACATTATTGCAACACAGTATTTTGATCAGACTTATCCACCGTGGTTACATATATATACTGATGGTTCTAAAGACCCTATCTCTGGCAGAACAGCTGCTGAAGTATTTATTCCAAAATTTCAAACTAGTATTAAGAAAAGAATATCTGATTTTGTATCCATGTATACAGCAGAATTAATTGCCATGGTGGTAGCACTCCAGTGGGTAGCGGATGTAAAACCAAATTTAGTAGTAGTATGTTCTGATTCTTATGCAGAAATATTGAGCCTTGCAAGTGGAGTAAAATCATCAAGGCAAGACATTGTATATGAGATTCTTGCAAGTTTGTTAAGAATAAGTAATGTAAGCTTAATAACATTTTTGTGGGTTCCTGCTCATATGGGAGTGGAGGCTAATGAAGTGGTTGATAAGCTTGCTAAGCAAGCTCTTAAACACACAGAAATAGATAATCAAGTGACTCAAAAATTAGGTTAAAGGGAAAATTAAATAATTCATAAACAAAAAATGGCAAGAAGTATGGAACTTTGATAGCAAGGGCAGACATATGTATAATATTCAGCAGCAAGTAGGAAATGGAAGAAGTGTTTTTAGGGATAGGAAATAAGATACAATTATTTGTTGCATCCGAATAGGGCATACTAGATTAAATCACTCTGTTTAATATAGGAAACCATGAAACAGGTCAATGTATTTTTTGTAATCAGGCTGAAACAATAGAGCATGTTTTTATAAAATGTAAAAAAAAAAAAAATATGAAAAAGAAAGGTTAAAACTCATTAAGTAAGAAACATGGGTGTTTTGAATCATTTAATTTGTCAAGCCTTTTGAAAGAGCATACAGAACAAGGTCAAATATATGGTGCTATTATAAAATACATTAAAGAAATAGGATTAATCAGGAGAATTTAGTTTTTTGTGTGTGTGTGTGTGTGTATATATATATATATA